CGCGGACCCCCTGGCTCCCGCCCCGCGACCCCGGCCCGGCCCCGCACCGGCCCCTCCCGATTTTCCCGGACATGCCCGGCTTTTGGGGATTTCCCCCCGGACGGGGATTTGAGCCCCCAAAATCCGGACATGTCCGGGAAAATCCGGACGTATGGTAACCCTATCACTGGAGCGCGTCACATACAGTGAACCTGCCTGTCCTCCTCCCTGCACGTCTCCCCACCGCTAAGAACTGCTCGTCAACAACAAAATTCTCCCTCTGCTCCCTTTGAGGCTACCACATCTTCTGGCCAGCCGCTGAACTGCCTGGCTAATGTAGAGTTGACACTGTGTGGTGCTCTCTGGGGTTGGTACAGCATTGAGCACAGGGCTGGTTCTTGTACTTGAAGTGCCTTCCTTGAGGGGATCTGCCCTTGTGATGCACCATCTATGGGTGGTCCAGCGATGGACATACGTCAAGGCTTCCCTCCCTGGAAAGCTATTCAGCATCTCCCCACGATCTAGAAATCAGGCAGGAGTCTTCAGATGTTGTGAGAGCCAAAGAGTCACGTCTCCCAAGCACCGTGGCAGGCGAGGATCTGAGCAGCTGGGGAGAAAACGTACAGGAGGCCTGGTGCAGGTAAAACACCTCCCTCGGCAACCTTCATGAATGAGGTCCAGACCCAATACAAACCGCTGGCCGCTTTCTTTCATAGAGCAATGCAACAGTCTTCATTCCTCGGCATAAAATCCCCTCCCCTCCCACATGCTGCCAGCACTCCCTTGTCAGCAGCCCGGCTCTCCTTCTCGTGCGGATAGCCCAGCCGCTTTGTAAAGCTCAGAGTCTCACTAGCTGCAGCTGCCGCTCAGACAGGCCCCTAGCTAGGACTGTGTAGGGTCAGTGGGTGTCTTTTGGAAGAAGGCTGGGGTCTGATTGGGGTGGGGTGTCTCTCTCTCTTGGGCTGGGGGTAGAGGCAGCTCCCTGGGGGGAGCCCAGGGCTTTTACTGAGCTCCATCAGCTTCTGTTCTCAGTAGCCATCTGGCCACCTGTTGCCCCCACCTCCCCAGCCTCTGGCTACCACTGCTGTGGCCACCACCCCTCAGATCCAACAGTGGAACAGCCAGACGAGCGTCAGACAGGCTGCCTGAAACCAGGCTCTATCAAGCAGCCATGGGAGGAATTACAGCTCTGCTTGTAGGCCAGCTAAATGCGTGAGGATCCCACCGGTGTGCAGGAATACGTGCCAGGGCAGCCAAATGCACGGCTGTCACGTGAGCGGGGGGACACCTGGCAGGCCTAGGTGAGTGCCCTGCAGGATTAGAGATGGATTGCAGATCTCTCAAACTCTCTTTTCAGCCGATTTCTCCAGCAAGCAGCTGCCATCTGCATCGGGTGTCTTCTGCCGCGGTGGTTCAGAAGTGGGATGGGTGGGGACAGACAGGTGTCTGGCTGGGCTCCATCCAGGCATTGAGATTTGGGCTCAGTCTAATCGCAGTGGTCTGTAACTGGAGGCCATCGCTGGTGATGCCCTGCCTCCGGCCACCACTAATAGAAACCTGGCTTCCGGCAGCTGCAGCATCCCTTGCTGAATGTAGCCGATACAGTGCAAGCAACACGGTCGCCTTCTGCTGTTCTGGCCATCCTAGCCGGGCTCTTGTCTGGCCTGGGGAGAGACTGTCCTGCTCGGACGCTGACCGAGGACTATTGGCAAATGACCACCCTGTCTCCGTAGCTGCTTGTATTTGGTAGAGGAGCAGAACTTGCTTTTCCTTTCAGTTTACGAGCAATACGGGCCTGGCCTTGCCGTTAAAGTCAGAGGTTGGCTGGTAGGAAGCCACGGTCTAGAGCCCCTCCACTCACACTCAGCACGTGCCCTGCCGTCATCTGCTCTTTTCTTGGTTTGCCGACAAGATGCCAAAAAAAATTCCACCCTCATGTACCTCCACACCAGCAATTCGATTGGCCCATTCTCCCGCAACAAGAAAAGTCCTGCTGAATCCAATGGTACTGCAGATCCGCGGGGTTTTTCTTCCTGTTTCTATTATTATTTGGCATGGGGATGACGCCGCTTGGGCTGTGGTTACATTTTTTAAACCTCGTCTTCTAATTATGTCAGAGCAGTAGGAAGCTTTCAGGTCCTATCTCATCCCGTCTAAGAGACTGTCCCCAACCAGGCTGGGGAAGTGATCGCTGGCTCTGAAAGCAGAGCTCTTGGTCTCGCTGTATATTGGAGTGACCTCTAGTGGCAAGCAGAAGATATAACCCTGGCAATCTTTATTATCCTTGTCAGCGCACAGACTAAGCACCACTTCACACTGGTGTAGTTTACAAGCACTTCGGCACGGCTGCAGTCATATTGGTGTAAAGCTGTTTACACTGGTATAGCTTATAGCCGTACAGGAATAGGACTGAGCGATGGCATCTTTATACCAGCATGGCTGCACCCGGCTAAGGGACTGTCCGGGTATAATCGATACAGATTTGTTTTAAAAATCACAATTCTGCACCTCATAGTGATACCCGTTCATTCACTGGGTGGAAGCCAGGCCTTAGTAAAAACCAAAACTAAACCCAAACTATCCAGGAAAAATTGTCAAACGGGCGCTCATCCTACCCTTGCCTTTTTAGTTAACTTCATTTCTCACTCTAGCATTTCAGTCTTCACAAGCGCTCTGGGAGGCAGGGAAGTATTACCGAGCAGAGAATGGAGACTGAAGTGCTAGCTAGCTGATGGAGAAAACGAGACTGCTTTTCTGTGATAAAATTGTTTGTTATGTTCAAATTAAGTTTATTCTAAACGTCACAATTTTTCCAGTTTCTCAACAAAACAATTTGCATAGAGACTTTTTCAATTAAAACAAACAAACAAACACTGAAATATTTTCATTTAGGCTCCATTCAATAACAAACATGAAAGTTTCATCACAAAAATTTTATTGCAAATCATTTCATCAAAAAAACTGGAAAATTTCAACCAATAAGAATTTTTTTCCACAAAATGCTGGTACAGCTTAAAAATCCCTTTTTAAATCAAATCATCTTTTCAGCCCTCGCTAGTAGTATTTGTTTCTTTTTTTAAGGCTGAGAAATTTCACACTTTGGAGGAGAAAGAGCAAACCTTTCTCAGACAGGTTGATTAAAAACAAACAAACAAAAAAGGTAAATAGCAGCTCTCTGACATCATTTAACATTCCAACCCCCTAAGCAAGTCCCACAGATGGGCTGGTGGTCAATGGGCGTGATGCATTTATTTATTACAGCTGTTGCATTTTATCATGTGGCTCTCTCTTCTCCGGATACATAGTGCATTGAGCTGAAAGCCCATGCTGGTGCACGGATATAGTTCATAAAGTCATGTGTGTGTAAAAGCCAAAAACAGGGTGCTTGTTTCCACACCCTGCACTGCAGCGATGCCGAGCAATTATGCGGTTTGAACGTGTTCCCCAAAGTTTGTACACAGAGCTGACCCCTGACTGGAGATACAGACATCTCTTTGTTTCCACAGAGCTGTGACTCCATCCTTCTCTGAGCAGCTGTCACATTCCCACCACCTTTGGACTCCATCATCCCATTTGGTTCTCACAAAGCCTGGTGATGTCTGAACCTGGGGATATTCTGAACAAAAGGAGCCCTCAGCCACACCTGTAGCTGTTTCCATCACTTCCCTGCAATGCAGCAGACATTCTAGGCTTCAGAATGACACAGTGACAGTCCTGGAAGATGTGTGTTGATTTGTGCAGATGGCAAAGGAGGTGGGGGTGCTGCAGTGGGGGGCCTATGCTTGTTTGGCATTATTTCAGTTGTGGTGATTTGTGTCTAGGTGGGTTGCCCTGGGACATTTGTGTGGGTGGCAAATTGAGAGGCTTGTGCTGCAGGGAGGAGCTTTGTGCATTTACAGCAATTGTGTGCACGGGTTGTGGTGTGGATTTTTAAAGAACTCAGCAATTGAGCCAAGTAATCCGTCATCTGTGCAGTCTCCCTCGTACAACCAATTAAATTGCTGCATCCAAATTAGCTGCAAAGCCAGGGTGGTAATTGGTTGAGTTACTTCTGATATCCTAAAGATCTAGTACTCTTGGCCTAGCATAGATACAGCCATGAAACAGCACGTCACGTCACTCCAAGTCAAAACGGACGAGAATTTAAAAATTAGATGGTAATAGACTGCGAATCTCAGTGAGGACCTGCTGATATTCTGCACCAAAAAAGCTCTCAGCCGTGCTTGCAGCTGCCTCACACTGACTGTACGATGTGGAATCTTATTCTGTAGGCAATACAGCTGGGAATTCTGCACACGTGTATACAGTGAGACATGCCCCAGCTCTAATTGAGAGGGACTTTTAAAGCACAGAATGTGTTTGGCAAGATGGAAATTTGAAAAACTGGACATTTTCTACTAGAGGCTAATGGGAGACGTGGGTCTGAAAGGTTGCTAATACGAAACAAACATAGTTCTGGGGGCAGTTATTTCCTGCCGTTTATTTGCTTTCCAATGTAGCCCCTGCTACCATTTCTCTCCCGTTTTCCTTCCACTCTATTTTTATGATGGCCCAAAAGAGCTTCCCCCTACCCATGCCTGACCTCAGGACAAGGCATGTGGCAGAATGCCTGATGGAGCTGGTGGGACAAGCCAATTTGAAGAGGTCTCATCCACCCAGTCTGGCCCATCTATACCTCCCCCACCCACTACTTTTACATCTTTAGGGCTTTATCGTGCCAACAAGCATCACAATATCTGAGCACCTTCCACGGAAAAGTGGTAGCAATTGTGGAGTCCCGACTGGCCTCTCTCCCTTGGTTTCCTGTATAATCCTGTGGCATTACACCCCATATTCAGGATAGTAAAATTATGATGTAAGTATAGCATAATTATGATGTATTTTGTGCAAGAGAAGGCATGTGAGATATCATTGGAAAGGTTATGATTTACTGAATGATGATCATATTTGTATGCATGTATTGTTTTTGTATCTGACATTCAGAATACTGTCTATGCATCTATTACAAATGTGTTTACACCTGGGGAACACCCACTAGACAGAATGCAATCAGTCTAGATTGCTGGCTGGAAAGGCCCATTAGGAAGAACAATAGGTCTTAGAAGATGCTAATCTCTCATCAGGGATCCTTCCTAGTAAAGCCTTCCTGGGGACACTGCAAACAGCCTCCGAAGTATGGCTGGAGGGTCAGGTGATCAAGTCACCCGATACTGGACTCCATCATAATATTAGTATTTTTCCACTTGATGAGGGTGGGAATCACACTGGAAGACAAAGGATTCCTGCCATATGTAAACCCTATTTAAGGCAGAGGGACATAATCATGGTTAGTTCTTCACTGAATCCCCGCCCAAGCTGACTGCTGTAAACATCTAAGAAACAAAGACTGAAGGAGGGGAGAAGGACAGAGCCCAGCCTGGAAAGTTGTCTAGCCTGTGAATGAAACATCTGAAGTTTTAAGCTGCAGGCAAGTACAGCTGGCCTTCAAGAATCTCTACAATCTGCCTAAAACAACATTTAGGGTGAGAAATTACTACTTGTAACCAGATTCTTTAGTATTTTAAGCTTAGATTGTGTGTTTGTTTCATTTGCTGAATAGTCTGTTTTGATCCGTTTGCTATCCCCTATAATCACTTAAAATCTATCTTTTGTAGTTAATAAACTTGTTTTGTTTTGTCTAAAACCAGTGTGTGGGGAAATTATAACTTGGGGCAGTTTGGACTCCAAATTTTGATGCTATCTTTAGGAACCTCACATTATTTTAGCTTGTTCAGCTACAAATCAAGTTGTGACTCGGGAACAGCTTCGTGTCTGATTGTGTGTTTCAGTTGCACGCATTTGGAATGTAGTCTTTGGTGCCTCTAAAGGTGGTTGATCACATGGCATTTGTCAGGTTTCCTCCCCTTTTCTGCTTCCCTAATCCCATTTTAGGCTTATTCATTAGGTAGACTCAGGAAGTTTCAAATAGACTATTAGCAAATTATAAACCACACTTAAAAAAAAACCCTTGCAAATAAATCTACTGTTTTATTTTTTCAGTATCACAGTCTCAGTAAGTGAAACAGACCACATTCCTTCCATGACATTACCCACCCTTCTCAATCTCTCTGGACACAATACAATCGAGTTAAAATATAACCAATATTTTGCTACTTCTATTAAGTTGGAAGAACATAATCATTGGTATTATAAGTGAAGCACCAAAAGAAGCCAAGGATGGAATGAACTGGAACGTGAAATCTCACACCTTTCCAGCTCTTATAGAAGCAACAAAAAGGGGACACTAGACAAGGAAAATGTACTTCGCAAGCCTTTTGACTCACATTAAGAAAAATAATTAAGTTCAATAGCCTTATGAATCCGTGGAGAAGAACACAGATGGATGCAGGTGGATAACAAAAGACTATGGTTTATTGAACAAGATGGACAAGGCGATATTCTCTTTACATTCAATGAGTTCAGGAAAAAAGAAGCAAAACATGCTACACACACAAACGTGATACTTTGGTTAAATATCATTCAGAAGTTCTATGTTAAACCTGGTAAAACTATAGGACGAACAGTCAAAAAATAATAGGGTTGCATAGATGGATTATTGTCAGTGTACAATTTACATTTATGGGTTAGCTGTTAGAACACAGGGCGCGTTTGCACCTCTGAGGGAGTTAGCCACTTGACTAATTAATTTTACTCTACGGCTAATATCTCCTTGCCCCAGGCTGAAAGTTTACCCTGAAGAGCTACATTAGTTACTTCTCTGAGGTGGTTAGCTGTATTGCAGTGCATAAACACAGGTGGAGACACAGCAGAATCTACTTAAAGAGAACACTGATACAGTGAAACTGTTTATTGGGACAAAGACAGTACTGTAGTTAAGGGGGCAGTGTTTGTCTCCACCACTGCCCCCTGCTGGATAGAGTCTGAACTGCGTCTCATTACAGGCCCTGTGCTGCTAATTGGTAATGGAGAGATGTTTCTAGCGCAAGAGGCAGGGCCCTGTGCTTTCAGCGCAGGAGGTGCTGAGTTCTAGGCCTGCTAGAGCCAGTGGGTGCAGCATAGTGACCACGACCGTGAAATTATTAAAGAACCACAAGGTCTGTTACAGCATCATCTTAAAAAATAAACTGTGCAACTGCTACCGATAGTGATTAAAAATACCTTCTCAACAGAAGCAACCAGCTATTGAGGGATATATACAGCTCCAAGCTGCACTGCCGAACCTCCCATCACAATCAGTGCTGCCCCATAGGTGTCTCCCAAACCAACAAAATGAGGGGAAGTCAAGAGAGCTTTGGAACTCAGGAGATAAGGGGCCCCAAGAACTGTCTCCTGCACTGGCAGATGGGCAAAATTCAACTGCAGATCTGGAAAATGATGGGGCAAGTGCAAATTCAAATGTTCCCTGGTGCTGCAGGATCCCTTCCATAACAACTCTGCTTGGATCGAGCTTCCCAGGGGGCAAGGCCCGTGGGACAACCCAGATCCCACTTCCCCCTAAGTATTGTGCCCATCTCAGTCGTATCTCAGCACAGCCGCACTGGCTCTGCAAGACTCCCAGCACTGAGAACCTGCTCAGGGCGGCAGATGCCCGGGAGGATATGCTGCATAAGAAGGCCACTTTTGATTATTTTACTGATTGGCCATGCTGGGTTACAAGAGCACAAGGTAAGCTGGGGATTCTGCAGCCTTAAAATAAAAGCATTGTCTTTGCACTGCCTCCAAAACATTCCCACTCGTGGAAATCATCAATCTGCAATTGACAGTTAGCTTGCACGCGGGCGAATATTAATCAACAATCCCGAATAAAAAAAATACATACGTACATACATCAATCCAGTGTGGTACGTTGAATGAATACTCTATGCTGGAACAGCTGGTCTGATTTGGCACAAAATAAAAATCACAAAAGTGGACTATAAAAAAAATCCATTTTTTCCTGTATTAAAGATGAATTGTCTCAATTCCCATCTTAAAAGACCTGCCTTGCTGCAATATAAAAATACTGAACATACAAGATCCTTTTGTCGAGCTAAGCAGATTTCAGCTGTTGTAGATTCTACCCTCCCTCCCCACGAAGGAAGTCAAATGATAAAAAATAACCTACCAATTAAAAAACGTTTTTTTTCCACAACAGTAACCAGAAAGTCCTTTAAAAGCCATGAGGTTAACCTGCTGCCTCTGTCTCCCATTGGCATCCTCCATTCTCCTCCTTGTACAGTACATGTCTTAAGATGGCAGGCTGGATTTATTTTATAGCACGCTGACTCTGATCAGAATGGCTACGGTGTCGACTACCCTGGGATTAAGGCACGATCACTCAGTTCGCCTAACCTCGCTCCTCAAAGATCGCTACAACTCTTGTGCTTTGGACGGAAGACCAGGTGGTGGCAAGAACATCGACCAAGACCGGGTATGGAAATCCGTTTGCTTCCCGCTCTTGTTGTACAAAGTGAGCTGCACACATCAAAGCTTCAGGCCGCATTAGTGATGTGTGCCTGCCAGCTAAGGAAACTCAGGAAGCAACGGGCTTCACTGCCATGCACGTTCTGTTCTGTTGCTTGTCATAAAGCACACAGGAAGAAATGCAACAGAGGTGGGAACGACACCGGCAGGGTTTTCCAGCCTTTTGCCGAATACGTTTTAATTCAGAGCAAGGCAATAGGCCAAGGTACTTAAACGGAGCAACAGAAGGGTCGGTTCCCTGGCTTTCCATCAGGGAAAGAGCACATAGCCCAGGTTGGGTCTTATTAGAATCATCACTGACACCAACCAACCAGCCGGAGCTTTAGCTCTAAGGGCCAATGTTATGTCTGGCATAAGCAGCGGCCACTCTACTGATAGCAACAGAGTCATTCATGGCTGCTTCGGCCTGTGCTCCTCAATCTTCCACCTATTGACGACCTGATCCTTGCTCAACAGATGCCTATTGACTTCAACAGGAGCAGGGCTGGGTCCTTAGGGCCCGATCCAGTTCTCATTCAAGTCAACGGGAGCTTTGCCACCTAACTAAGCATCTTACGGCCCATTGACTTCAATGGGACTTGAGCACCTTTCTTGAATAGGGATGCTTTCCAGAATCGGGCCCGGAAACAGGAGCAGGATCGGGCCCTTAAAGACTTTCCTAATGGGGATAAGATGGAAACTGTAGCCTCCAGTCGGGGCGCGGGAGGGGAAAAACATCATTAGCTGCCAAACCCCAACAGGAGCTGAGCTCCAGGGGTCGGATTCTCCCCGCCTTGTGAAATGCAACCGTATTCTGATTTGGCAACTTTTTAAACCTCCCGGATGACCCGAGGGGCAGGACCTGGTCTTGGACCATTTGAGAATTGTCAGTACAGAAACTGCCCCCAGCCCCCGTTCCATTTCACAATACATGCAGGAAAAGACAGAAAAGTGGCATTCTCGGCAGTAGAAAAGTTGACTGTTCCATGAAATATAAAAATAAACATTTATAACATAAAAACCTTGCAAATGGCACCAGCACATTTGCCAAAATTGTCAAATAAAAAGTACACGATGCATCTTGGGATCGTTTCCTTTAAAACTCCGTTAACACGTCTGACGAGATGGATGTGGGGCAACTGAAAGAGCAGGAGACAAGGGCAGGCAAATCTAGCCACAAGCGGGGCTGTTTCCTGAGAAGAGGAAGAGAGAGCTTCCGAGTCCCCTGGAGAGAGGCAGAGGGGAGAGCAGGCACGCTCCTGTGCAGTCTGGAGACGTCGGCCTGAGTCCATTCAACAGCAGGGGATACCAACAATGCAGAAAACCCCCAAGTTATTTCTAACTCACCTAAGCCTTCTTTTCATTCAGAACAAAGGTGTGTTCTTGACTCACACTAGCTAACAGAGGCAGTGTGGCCTGATACATAGAGCACTGGACTGGGACTCAGAAGACTGGGTTCTAGTCCCCTCTCAGCCACGGGCCGGTTGGGTGACCATAGGCACGTCATCTCTCCTCTCTATGCCTCAGTTTCCCCAGCTGTAAAATGATTTGTAAACTGCTTTGAGATCTACAGCTGAAAGGCGCTGCATGGCAGCTATTGTTCTAACACAGGGTAACTAATCGGAGGTAAAGTCCTCGTGAAGACCAGGCAATTTGTAGTTTTCACACGAGTTAGGTCAGGGTAAACTAGGCTGCTCCATAGCCTTGAACTCGACCTGCTAGCTCGTGGGCCAGCTACCGACTGCCCTGTCTTTGCTAGGACTTACCTAGCTGGGAGTGAAGAACACGCTTTTTTTTTTCCTAGCGAAGACGTGGCCTTGGGGCTGGATTGGGGCCCATCCTGCAGACCGCTACAAAGGAGCAGAGGGGCAGAAGCATTCCTGACTCCCTTGTGCCAGCACGGTGCACCATCGCTTCGTGCGAGCAGGCTCTGGAGAGCCGCTGCGTTCCCCACCTCTCCGTGCGCCCAGCAGCATCGTGACCCTGGCAGGTCAGGGAACCAAGTGATGCACCAAGCACAGACTCAGTGCAGTTTACTGCCTCTCTGGGGTAGCAGCAATTCAGGGAGTTTCCCTCCCAGGCTGCTCACCAATGCACAGCCACTGACTTGCTGACTGGCCACCTAGCCCTTATTGGCTGGATAGGCTTAAGAACTTACTGTACCTCTATGGTCAGCTTTGCAATTCAAATGTATTTGCACAGAGACTGACAAAAACGC